TCTCTCTCTCTCTCTCTCTCTCTCTCTCTCTCTCTCTCTCTCTCTCTAATGAAGTCATTGAATAATGTATGATAGCATGCTGGTAAACGGTGATCAGACCTGTTTGGGCTCAGAGGGCTTTTAATGGGCGTGGACGGACCAGTAAACAAACTGGTGGAGGATGGGAAAGCTTGTGGCGGGTTTGTACAGTCATGGAATTTGGAGAAGAAAAAAAAAGGCCGTTTTTTTCTTATGTTCGGCACCCTAGAAAGCCACTTAGCCAGGCACACTGCCTCAGCCGCCTCCTCTCTCTGTTTCCTGGCTACCCGACATCCAGAAACGACCTCATCTGTTTTTAGGACTTTTATGAATTTACATTGATTAGACAAAATTAATTTGTTCTCTAGCTTACGAGACAAAAAGTTTTTCTCTTGCTTCTTTTTCAGTTACATTTTTATCTATTTAATTAATCCTCTTCACCCCTCCACTTACGTAATATGAAGCTTTTTTTTATGTCTTTGTCTTAATCCATTGCATTTTCACACAAAATGAGCTTTACACACGCACACAACCTTATCATAGTTATTTATTTATGTAGTTGTGATTCAAGCGTTTACAGTTGTCACTTTTATGTTAAAAGTGTTGCAAATCTACTTCTTCAATAAAGCACACCAGTCAACCTAAATCAAATAAAACAGTAATCGACATTTTGTGTATTAGTCCTGGTATGGAACAATCTGTCTACAAATGTGTGTTAAGTTCAAATGTGTGTTTCTATAGCTTGGCCATCGTAGTTAAGAGATCAGAATTTGATTTAGGAAACTTGAGGACGTGTTTTTAATGTTTCCACCTGCCACTCGCCCAAATTCTTCTTCTTCTCTTTCCAGAGCAGACGCAGATCGGCAGCGACAACAGGGTGAGTTTCTCTACACGGCCACCAGGGGGCATTGTTGCTCTCAGCATCAGTAGAGATCATCAGCCCTGTGTGTGCTCCCGTTCAAAGAACGGGAGCCTCACTAAGCTTCTTTTGTTGTTGTGTTTTCTCTCATTTTTCTCCTTCTGTTTCATCCCTCTGCCTTCTCGCCACGTCCTCCTCTCTAATTGTCATTCCGTCTCGGCGGCTGAATGACCGAGCAGACACCAGCGGTTCCACCTGTGAAGTAAGTGCACAAATGTAAATACGCCATATCTCGCCATCTGTTTTATGTTTTTATGTTTATTTTATTTATTACACCGCAGCAGCCCCATTCTTTACATCTGTGAAAGCAACGTGCACGGACGAGACATGTTAATGATGTGCAGAGTTTTATCATTTATGGTTCCTGGTTTCGTGAAGTTTTATATATATTCGTAATAGAAGTGGAGGAAATGGCAAAGGTCTTCACTCTTGTTAATCAGTGTTCTGTGTGTGTGTGTGTGTGTTCTTGCAGACATGACTGGTACCAAACAGAGTCTCAAGTCATCGTCACAGTCATGGCAAAAAATGTACCCAAGGATGGTGTGTGTGTCAACTTCATGGAAAAAGAGGTACAAACACACACTTAAGTGCAGTGTTGAAGTGAAGAGAGACGTGTGTGTGTGTGTGTGTGTGTGTGTGTGTGTGTGTGTGTGTGTGTG